GACTACGAGTATGACACAGACGAAGATGTCCCAATGTTGTCGAAGAACAAGTTAAAACCAAATTGAGTGATTTCAATTTCTTCGAATATGTGAGCTTTGATAATGGCATTCTTACAAGAGAAATGTTGACCGATGAGCAAATTATAGACTCCGTAACTTCATCTACAGCTTTAAGCGATAATGAGAAAGATGACGATTTAGGTAAAAGGTATTCTACTGTAGACACTAATACTGTTCCAACCATTTCTGAAATGACAAAAAAAGTATCAGAAACTCGGAATTTTCTACAATCACGCCAAGTTCCTAATCATATCTGGGAGTTCTTTTGTGATCTTGAAAACTACATAAATAACATCTATTTTTGCAGCAGAAATGTACAAACAAAAATTACAGACTTTATGAAGTAGATTTTAAATCGAATTTTGTTTATCTTTTTGTGTTCTTTTTAGTCATACCTACTAACTTCTACTACTCTATGTAAAAATAACGAAATAAAATACACCACGTGTTTTTGTATTATTATTCGCTTATAGCTAACTCCGGATACAACAAACCAGTTTTAGTTCATTTTTCAAGTTCGTTATATCCGGACTCAACTGTATCTCAAACATTAACAGAAACACTGCTTCTTTGAAAAGACCATATACATGACTCTCTGATTGCGTAACTTTTTGCTAATTTAACCGACTTCGTATTTCTTACGGTTTCGGAGATCCCCATGCGATGCCTTATTAACTTGGACACCCTGTATATTCAATTAAAATCTTTCAAATGTATTGTTTTTTTAGACCAGAACGCAAAAGCGTGATAGTTTTCTGGGGCCCACTCTGTAGCTATGTACTTGTTGCTTGAAAGAGCTTAAGGAATCAAATTAGTATTCACTAGAAAACGGGAGCAGAAACGACCAATCAAGGCGATTATTAAGGAAAAAACATCCTTGTAGGGCAATAAAAGTCGGAATGATAGATAATAAATCGGTCTACTTACAATTATCTCAAACTCCTAAACCTGAAGCAACCATGTTTTCAAGGGCAACGTCAGTGATTTAAAGCCAGTTAGAGGTTGACAGCAAACGTCAGATGGAGTCGGAATAAAAAAATCCCGTTTTTCTCAATAAAATCGCACAACTCGGCGGCAGAATGCCACAAAACGATAGAAGAAAATCTATTTTTTTCCGGAAACAAGCCAGTTTTGGGGTCAAATAACGTGTATTACGAGGGGCATTTGAGAACATATTGCTTAATTTATTTAATCAGGGAACAGATAACAGTCAATTCAAATTGCAGGTTTCTGATAGAAATCCAAAAATCCGCTGCCAAAAGCCACATGAGATCACTAAATTGACAATATTTCGAAAACTAAACACTTTGGAATAGACAACCTTGTATAAACTAACCCTTTAGTACTAAATGAGACAAAATTGTCAACACTGAGGCTTTCCATTTGAAAAAATTGTCACTATATTAATATTTATCAAAATGCTAATGCAATGCAACTTAAATCACACATAATTTCCTATAGAAAAAATTAGTGAGAGAAAAGCTTGGATTTTGATCAGAAACGTCTAAGTTTAATTGATTTTTATAAATGTACTGATTAGCTAGATCAAGTAAATTGCCATCAAACGACCCTCGTAGTAAACATCATTTGATCCAGTTAGTATTTAAATTTTTTAGTGATTGACGGACTGCTTGTCAGTCGCTCCGCTAAAATCTTAAAAAACACAATCTTTGTGTATTTTCACACCGAAAATTTCGTTAGTTCGGAAAAAAGAGTTTTTTGTCTATCGTTTTGTGGTCATCGACTTGTGCGATTTTATTGAGAAAAACGCGAATTTTTCTTAAAAATTATTTAAAGCACCTTTTTAATACATACATGGTGAATGATCTACAAGCTTTAAATACGATTTCCACGCAAAATGAACCAAGTAGTTAAGCTTGAAGATTTTATAAGCCGCAACATGTGGACATGCAAAGTAGCCCTTAAACCCCATTCAGGTAGAACCGAATAGAATTTTCATACGTTTGGGATGTAGGTTAATCTTTAGGTTTGCCATAAAACTTTATTAATGTTTCAAATCCTCAGAAAACGATGGTTAAAGCCCTTTTGGAGAGCCACCCAGTAACATCCGCATCTTTGTTGGGAAGATTTTCACTCCTTCAGATTTTCGGCTACATTGATAAAGGATTTAGAAGATTGTCGAGATCTATTGGTGGTTTTACTCACACTTTCCACATTGACTCATGCCGTCATGGCGGAAGAATTCACCTCAGGTGTTAAGAAGTTTCTTGGTGTCACATTCGAGAGCAAATTTACAAGAAAAAAACCCATTTAGGCTTGAAGAATTGATTAATGTCTCTTGAGGGTATCCACCACTAAGTACCATACCTGCATAGAACCGAATAGGTATTGTCATATCTTTTACCGATAGTAGGTCCTTGGCCGTTTCGCTTTGGGCTTTGAAGTGCGGAAAATCGTCTTCTGACGAAACGATCGTTAAGACCCGTTCTAAGGACCCCCATCCGCGTCCTTTTTGAACCTATTCACTTTACATTTGCTCAAGAACTTTACAACGTTTTGTTTAATTGGTATTCCCAAAAGTTTTATGTAGGAACAGTCAGCAACTTAAAACTGTAGCATAAATGTATTCAATTTGGCAATAATTTCCTGAAAAAAACTGGTCAATTTCAATCTGCTAGAGAGCAGCTGGTCCATTTCAGACTCCGATCTTTCCCTGGGGTCTTTTTCGGCAAGGGCGGCAACTAAAACGAGCAAACCAAGGCATGCAGGTAAATTTTCAGCTTATTCCTCGTCATCCGTTTACCTGCTATTCAATGTTAGTTCCGACCCAATATTCCGTTTTATTAATAGTTCTGCTGTTATTCTTAAGATAACCAGGGATGAATTAAGGAAATTATGTCCTCCTGCACATCAAAAGATGATTTTTTGAACGCAACCAATTGATTAACCGGACATCGCAAAATGTTGCAAATTATTGGACGAATGAAGTGAAACCGCCTTTGGTGATAATACCGACCCTTAAGTTGTCTCCGATTTTCAGTAACCAATTAAGTTAAGCAACAAAAATTAACAGGAAACAATCCAAATATTAGTGCAGTTACAACTGAAAATGAAAGTTAAAACAAAACTTAAAATAGACACTGTTTTGAAAATAACAAAAACCAAATCTAGACAAATTTTGATTTTTTTCTTTTTGAATCTGGGTGAATTCACTGATCATTTGCTTGCTGTTACTGGACAGAACATGTTTGTCCCTGACGGATTTTAAATGATTTTCTATACTTTTTATTTACACTGGACCTTCATGCTTCTTCAGTTGTGTGTGTTTTTTTTCAACTTCTTTTTTTCATGTTTTCCGACAGTAGCAAACCTTCCATGTCTGGACCAACTGTCACTGATGGAACTAATGATTCTCCTTTGGGTCTCAACTATTCAGTCCAGCCCTGATTCAAATCCCACGAATCTCGCATCTTTCGACTTGGGGTTCTTTTCAGGGTGGTAATTGTGCGACCTTTTTCTTCGCAGAATTGGCAGCTGCTTGTTCAAACATTTCCGAAGGGACCATATAATGAATGGACGATTCTGTACGAACCAGCAAATAAGAAATCGGTTTTGTAACCAATTTCAAATAGGTCCATTCTACCTTAAAATTTAAAGTGCTTTGAGCGCAGTTTTGCAGCCGCACAGGCTTCTCAGTCTCAGTTGCTTCAATCCACTGAAGCTTCAGTTAGAACATTTAGAACATTAGTTGTGATCATAAAATGGGCCAAAGGATCTACAAGAATTTCTGCATTCTTCACACTTAATAAATTATCAGTAAATCTTGCAAGGTCTCGCAAAGTTAGGAATTTTGGATAATCTTGTTTTTATAACTTACCTTAAGGCACTGTAAGAAGATTGGTAAAAGCACAGTCAATAAATCAATAAAGCTTCTAGAGTTACTAAGAAATCTGGGAAAGTCTTTGAATTGATGAAATGAAATGCAAAAATATGGAGACAAACTGAATTTTAAATAAGGAATTGGGAAATTTGGGACAATGAAGGGTACTTGCTTTCAAGCTAAAAAACTCAATGACGTAGGAATGGCAGTAAAAGAAACCTTAAGGAGCTGTAGAAAGGAATATTCAGTTTAGGATTTATTGGAAATTTATCAATTGTTGAAGCGCCTTTTCAAACATTGCGTAATATTCGCCATGAATTAATGAATCATTAATTTGAGTGATTGAAGAACATAAGAAAAAATCAAATTTTAGACAAGGGAATAACTGTAGGTAGTAAAATTTTAAGGAATTTTGAAAGAAAAATTATATTTTATTTTATGAAATTATTTGCGTTAAAACCTTAAAGGTGGTTGGTGCCATTGGTGCCTGAAAAAATTGCCACGCTCTAAAGTTCATAAAGTTCTGTGCAAATTTAGACGCAAATGAAAGTGTACATTTTAAGCGAAATTAATAGTGTTCTTTTGGATATTGGCACTCTATTTACACTTTAAAGATATGAAAAAACCAACAATTCGATGTTTGAATTCGGATGGATGATAAATGAATATATAATTGCAAATTGTTGATTTAGTCGACTGAGCACAAGGTGCATAAACATAATGGAATGGTGTTTGCCGTTTTGTTCTCAAGCTTTCAGTCGTTCACATTTCTCAGACGGTTGCGTTCTTTGTTCTCGATTTTTTTGTCGACCCGCCGAGACTCAAGAGCGAGCCGAGTCTTCAAGCACTTGGCCGGCCGATCCACGCCGGTATTCTTCAATTACCACAAATATTCTTAAACGACATCGACAATACCGAAAAAAATTACTTATGCAAATATTTGTGGTGTATTTCGCGTTTTTGTCATATTTATTGGTCCAGCGGTTTTTTCAGACTGTTTTTCTTTGTCGGCGATTTTAGCATAATTAATTTCGCTTTAACGACGATCGCCCTGATGTTAATCGACTGTTTTACATAATAATCCTTGAAATTATGCCGTGCCTCAGACGGTTTGGTAACGTGTTTATGTGCCTGAATATTAGGGTTTTGTCGCAAATGTCTATTGACATGTTTGCTGTTGATTAGGACCAAGTTTTCGAGGCTTCTCACGGTCTAGTAACACGTTTTTTTGCTGCATAAATTACCGATTTGCATAAAGAAAATTATTTGAAATGAAGACTAAAAAGGAAACGCCTGGGAAAAGCCTGCAAGTTTCCTTAACTAGATTTTTAAGGGTGAATCTGATTTGTCCAAAATATGTCTCTACTTTGATGGGAAGAACCCATTGAATCTCAGAGCCAAACATTTATATTTATAGGCTTTGACCACATTTACGTTAATTTCACAATTTTCAATTGATTAAATGTCCTTTTATTTTTGCTTAATTTAGCGTTTTTTTAATTTACTTTATGATTCCACTTTGCCTTTTTAACTGTTTGGTTATAGCAGAAAAACTTGTATTTCTTCAAATGAAAGTTATTCAACAGTTTATTAAAGTGCGACGGTTTTACTGTTTTCACTTTTTACTCTCTTATGTGCTTTTTAGTTCAACAATTATTAGAATGCTGCTTTATTGCTTACAATTTCCAATATGTAGCACTGAATCTAAATATGGGTTTGTTTGCATTTTTTTTTTGGTAAAGGAACCAAAAAGGATTCGTTTTCCAGTCTTCTTTAGAGTTAATTAATATCTTACCTTTATTTTCCAACAAAATATATGTAAAAATTTAATTTAGATAATTAATTGCATTTGCAAATATTTTAAAGTCTGTTTCCTCAAACTCTTGCCGCATTTTTCTTTATTTATTTTATTTAGTACATTGCTTAATTATAAATAAACATTTTTCAAAAGAAAAGTATGTACGGATGAAAAATACATTAACAGTTAAGAAAATCTAAATTTAAAACTTAATAACGATGACAAATTTAAGTAAAACTTAACCTTGCAATGGGTGTTTTTGTTTATTTGCTGAAAAATGTGTGAGTTTTTCCATTCACTTAATAAAGCCACTTTTGATCAAAAAAGCTAGTAAGAAAGATAAATGCAAAAGTAACTGAAAAACTCGCCAATTAAAACACAAATAAAATGTCAAACGCTTGCCATTTTTCTTAATTATTATTATTTTGTACATTCGCTAGTTTAAAATTAAAGGAAAAGCGAACTTTTTAAGAACGAAACATGTAGGAATGAAATAAAAAATTATCAGTTAAGAGAATTCTAATTTAAAACTAAAAAACTGTGACAAACTTGATTAAAAAGTTACCTTCCAAAGTGAGTTCTTATTGTTTAGTTGCTGAAAAACGAGTGGCAGTTCTTGGGATTCCTCTCATGCACTTGTCCGAAATAAAATTTTCAACTTTGAGAAAGCCTCTTTTCATCAAAAAAGCTGGTATAAATAAAAAATATAAAAGTGGCTGAAAAAATCCTCATTTAAAACTCCAATTCAATTGGCAAAGTTCATTTCAATAATTGATTGCATTTACAAATATTTAATTGTCTGTTTTCCTCAAACGCTTGTCACATTTTTCCTTATTTATTATCCTTTAGTCCATTTTCTAGGAAATTTAATTTCTTGCTCGCACTTGTTGGAAATTTAATTGCCCACAAGAGAAAGCCTTTTTGGATGAAAAATGAGTAAGAAAAAATAACTGAAAAAATCCGCATTTAAAACTCCAATAAAACGTCAAATTTTATTTAAATAATTAATTGAATTGATTTATTGTCTGTTTCCTCAGACGCTTGTCACATTTTTCTTTATTTATTATCCTTTAGTACATTCTCTAGGTAAACATGCGTATTTTTCACAAACTAATCATGTACGAATGAAAAATACATTGAAAATTAAGAAAACCCGAATTTGAAACTTCAATACGATGACAAATTTAATTTAAAAATAACCTTGCAATGTGAGTTTTTATTGTTCATGAAAGAGTCGAAAATTTTCTTTTTTCCCATCCTTTTGCATGTTGAATTTATTTGAAAAATGTTTCATCATTTGGTCAGTTTTGTTTATGATTTACATCTTCATTCAGCTCAAAACCCATCTTTTCTCCAACGAGATGTATGTGAAAGAAAAGTACAGAAATGGCTGGAAACGCGCCAGTTTAAAACGCAAATTTAATAAAAAATATCTTTGCCTGGGCGAGCATTTTATTGATTATTTCCCTAAAACTTTGCAACAATATCTTCTGTTCTACATTCCGTTGTTAAAAATTTAGCTGAAAAAGTTTTTTTTGGTACCAAAACGACAGGCAGGAAGAAAACTCGAATTTAAATATAGGATAAGCTGACAAATTTAGAGTATAATTATCCAATTTGGCAATAAAATACCTGATTTAATTGTCTGATCCCTCAAAAGCCTGCTACATTTTTGTTTATTATTATTTGTACATTCTCTAGTTTAACATGTTTAGCTACATTTATAGCGTATTTCTCGAGAACAAAGCATGTAGGAATTAAACGGATATTAACAGTCAAACGATGAAAATGTTAATGAGAAAATAACCTTGCTGCGCATATTTTATTGTTTATTTTCTCAAAAATAAACGACATTCTCTTTTCAAATCATTATTTACGTCCTTTTGCTTGTTGAATTATTTGAAAAACGTTCCTCGTTTTTTGGAAAAACATAACTTCATATAAGAATAAAGTGAAACGCAATATTAATCTTGGTTTTGCGAATATTTAATTGATAACTTCCTGAAAATATCCTTTAGTTGGCCGGAAGTCTTTTACCCCTGAAGTTATTCAAAAAATAAATTGCACCCAATAATAGAGCAAGAACAGTCGAGAGAAACAAGCCCAAAAGCCCCCGAAAATCGCAGTCCACAAGAACATTTCAATAAACTTTAATTTCCAAGTTTTCTACATGGGTACCTGAAAAATACCATCTGGGAAAAATGAAAATCAAACTCCAAAGGGAAGTAACAAGAATTTATTCTTTTCCCACATGACAAAAATACATTCATTTGGGTCTATTGTAAGTTGTGTCGTTTGAGGTATATGTATAATGTTGGTCTATTAGACGCATTCAGATCCAGCTTTTCGCCAACCGGAATAGTCTGAAGCAAATCAAAACGACCACAGCTTAAAAAAAATCAAATTCAACTTCCGGTTGAAAAACAACATGGACACTGACTCAACATTGTTGCGGAGAAGAGCTCATTTTAAATTTGAGGGTTTTCCAAGTCGTTGATAAAATAACTCAAATTAAATAAACATTCGCATTAAATAAATCAAATTTTTCACTTGCAACTGTGTTTGTTTCAGGTCAGGGCCTCAGCAGTCCTAAAATATATAAGTAATTAATAATAAGTGTTACATAAAAAAATATAAAACGTTGAAGAACATATTCGAATTTAAAACGAGCTGCCCTTTTCGCTAAATTTGAACAAATTCCCGGTTTTAACGAAATTACAAAGCACGTAAAGTGAGGAACGCTAGACGCAAAATCTGTTCAAGTTGACCACTAGCGCATTCACCCGAACAGACACGTTTCTAGAACATGATTTAACGGGTTGGGTGAGTGTTTGTGAAGGGTGCGACAGACAGGCAACAATCAGATTAATCCTAAAAATTTACCTTAAAAACTAGCGGCCCGAGAGGGCGATAATTACAAATATAAAGACGATTTACAACTTTTTGCTTTTTGTTTCTTTACTTCCTTTTATTTCGCTAAATATTAAATAACAAAAAGAAAACAACGCGCTAGAAACATTAAAACTAGACTATTATTTACAAGGCTGTACGAAAACTATGGAGATGTACTTTTCTAAAATCTGAAAGCGAAATTTCAATTAACCCAAGTACATGCCGGCGAGTGTTAGTCAAATTTTGGCCCAATGCAAGTTTTTAAGTACTATAGGACTGGTTTCGAATCTATCAGTCCTCATTAACTGGTTTAACTTGCGAGCTAAAACCAGCTAGAGTGGACCAATAACCTGTCCCTGTGTTTGCTTGTGACCCAGACAAAATCGCGTGTTTGAACCACCCTGTATATTTTGTTGCGTTCTCCTTTGGATAAAGTACAGGGCAGTTTGCAAAGTTTTACCCTACAACCGCAACTTAGGGATTGCGATGTTTGTCACCAAAAAAGCTTGTTTTGAAACTAAAAACTGAATTTAAAGAACAACAAAAACGAAGGATTTACGTTCTTCTGATTCTCGGCTGAATCAATTTAGTCGCTAATGTTGTTTTTATGTTATTTATAGAAAAACCAAAAATGAACAGTTTTTAATCAGGGTCATATTATTCAACTTATATGCATATTTTAGAAAGCCGTGAACAATAACATTATAATATTTCCTTCATTAATAGCTTTCTTGAACATGTTAGAATTTGTGTTCGCGTTTTGTCTCAAAAGTTCGACTTTTTTGGGCGTTTATCAGAGTTGTTATTACGTTGGTTTTCCAAATTACGTGAAGAGTTTGCAGTTGTTTGGATTTAATGCTGGAAACACAATGTGTTATACAGCTTAAGAGCGCATTGCTCAGGCACTTTTAAGCCGCAAATGCCTTACAATTTTTTTCAACAAACTCAACTGTTTAAAAGTGCAAACGTACCGTACAGCAAGAACTTGATTGAAATTATGAAAATCGTAGCGTTCGTAGAATAACCTTGCGTGTGTTGGTCGAATGAGTGAAATAATACGCAGTTTTGATTTGCATTGCGAACGAGTGAGAATTAAATTCCAAATTCAGTTCTACCATTCGAATCTTTTAATTTTTTAGATCACCGATTGTAAGCGATTTCCTGTATTTTATCCTGTTAATACGTTTCCGAAGTCCTTTTATAATCATTTTGATGTAAAAAAACACACGTCTCACTCGCTCTTGCGATACGTTGCCCATCCCAGAAAGACCTTTCCTTATTAGAAGTAAGAAGAAGAAGAAGAAGAAGAAGTCCTAGAATTAAGTAGTTAAGAAGACCACGTGCGTGTCTTGGTTGAAAGAAATTGGCCAAAATTTCCCTAGACATTGTCATTGACTGCATGTACCATTTTTAGTGCTGTGCTCGAAAATATATGCCGAACTCTTTGGGGTAAAATTCCATAGATCTTCAGTGGTCCGCAATAGATCCAGCATAGATTTGACTCCAGCACTTAGCAAAAGAACCTCCAACGTCTTTGTTTCTCATTTAACGTCGCACTATAAGACATAACTAGACTTAAAATAAACTAAAATTCCGCCAGTCCAATAGCGTGAAGCGGCCGTTCTTCAGCGTTGCTGAAACAGCATTTAAGTACCGCGCCCCGCTTGACGATCTTGGACGGCTCTGTTTGCATAAAAACAAAGTTCCTTTCCCTATCTAATATTTACAAAATCAATTGAAAAATATTCTTTCGCCCTTTGAAGCCCTTCGATCCATACCAATTCAATTCATGTATAACCACATATTTGACGAGAGATCACGCTACAAAATCAAAGATCATTGTTCAAAGGCCATTGGGTCGGGCCAGGTTCGCGAAACCCGGCCGACCCCGCCCATTAGCCGGTCCTCTTTCTGCTACAATATTTAATTATTTATTACACATAGTTATCACAATGTTTAAGAAAAATCGCGGAAAGAAGTAGTGAACGCAAGAAAATGTCTTCAACTGTTCGGCACCGATTCGGACGCCTTCTAAAATATCACCTCGTAAACAGTGGCCTTTTTATCCCCTGAGCCGGTCACGATGTATTTATCATCAGCGGATATGTCGCAGCTCAGCACGCTGGATGACTCCTTGGACTGCAACAAGAAAACACACTTTTATAGCGCAATAATACATAATCATGCGCATGCTTACCTGGAATATACTGGCTCCGTAGGGCGTCCTCCAAGCATTCAGCAAATTGTCTTTACCCGTCGATACAAACCACTTGCCGCATGCCGCAAATCGTAGACTCAGAACGCAACTTTCATGCAGATGCAGCTGGTATTTGTCTGGCTTGTTGGCGTGCAGAACTTCCACGTTGGAATTCTCCATACCAACGGCTAACCATTCGCCAGTCGGGCAATAGCCCAATGAGAAAATTTGGGAGCTGAAGTCGTGTTGCTGAAGCTGTCTGCCTTCTCGCAGATCCCAGCTTCGCACTGTGTTGTCCAAGCCTGTAACATAAAACGGAACCCGTCAGGTCAACGACTATTTTTGCATGCAAATCTGCAGCCAGATTGGGTAGAAACGAGAGTTTGCTCATTTGCGACTTTCAATCAGTTGCACAACATTAAATCAATATGAGAACCTCGATCAAAAGAGCAGGTTTTGGCCTTTTAAGATGATGAAGGCCTTGACTGAATGTTTTTTCATCTAGACCCAATTCCGGTGGGTATTTCATGAAGCTGCCCAGCCAGAGGTGGAAAGCATTCTGATTAGACCGTCCTCGCATTCACTCGTTCATCACGTAGCCGAAGCTCTGCCTATGACTCTCAAACGATTTCACCTGCAGCAGTGCGACTTGGATATCAGTTACTCTCCCGACTCGAAAAAAAAATCTTGAACTAGTTCCCGATTCATGATCTTCAGCTCGGCCCTAATTGTGCTATTGGCCCCAGTGGTGAGCTCATTTCATTTGTTCATATTTATTAGGCTGTCTACGAACAATTTCAACGTTTTTTCATATTCAACTGTATTTTCCCCATTTAGAAGAGATTTCTTGCAAGGTCCAAGGCTTTTCCAAAATCACAACCGATTTGCAACAATCTGATTTTTTTGTGGTTTCTTCCTCATTCCATTTTTTTTGGTTGATATTTCCTTTTAATTTAAAGTTTAATTTCGTTTAATTTTTCTTAACCACTAATTTTAAAATTAAGAATAGATCGCTGCCACTTATGTCATTTTCGGCGATATTTCAAAAGTTTATTCTTCTTTCTGATCGTGAAGCCTAATTAATTGTTAAACACAAACGTCGATCTTCAGGAAGACCTTTCCTTCAGTTCGTCAGTTCGTGTCGATTTCGTTAATCTTCTTCGACTTCGTGTTGAAAATGCAGTCGTTTTCGGTAATTTTTCTTCTCGAAAGCGTGTGTTATACGATATTTCATACGGTTTTTCTTCGAACGATTAGAACAACTTAGGATCAAATTGCAGTGAACAACTTGGCGTTTTTTTTAATCGCAAAAAGGCTTTTTCATAATCAAGGGTTTATTTCTTTTCGTATGGCTTGTGGTTTGCTCAAAATTACTCCAGATTTGCATTTAACTCTGGGTTTAATGGGTTCTTTTCCATGATAAACCTTTAATTAATAATTTTTTAATTTTAAATAGATTCGTATACCTTTGGCAACGTAAATGAGAACAAATAACCGATTTTTTAGTGATTTTCAGCGTGGCAAGAAAATCATCTGCTTTTCTTCACCAATTTTTCAGGTTTTTTGACGGTTTTTGGTTATACATTTTTTATCGCTACCTGCACAAAAATAAGCGCACCACAGGATTCAACAGCTCAAAACATATCATTTAAAACAAATTCGAATAGTTATGGCAGCTCAGACCAATTTGTTGTCGGCATTTTTCGAGTTTTCCTAGGATATTTGCTTATAACTATTTTTGCTTACATTATACTCTCGTAAAAGCGCATTAACACAAATTTTCAAAAAACAAAAAAGAATCGCACAACAAGTCTGGTTCCACATTGAGATTATCGGTAAAATTTTCAACTCACCTCCTGTCCAAAGCTTTGTTCCATCAGCAGAAATGTCTATACAAGAAGCCCCATCGGTATGCCCCTGGAATTGGCGTACTAACGTTTGATTGTGCAAATCCCAGACCGCTATATTCCCATCTGAACAGCAACTAAAGCACACCTACAAACAATCGAATATAAAACTATCCCCAATTTGGAGGCTCGAGCTGTCGCTACCTTGGAATCTGGACTTATAGCCAATGCGTAACACGCGGGAGCGCTAGACGTTAATTCAGCCTTAATTCTAGGCGTCGGGCTGGCCAAGTCCCAAATGGACAGATTACTCGCCTCTCCCCCTACGATCAGAGTGCGTCCATCAGGTAGCAGTTTGACGCTGCGAATGTAGTTGTCTCTTTGCTGAAATGAATTGATCAATACATACACTGTACCAATGAGACCGACCAAACTGCACCACTTACCAAACAATCCAATTGAGATACGGGGCTTTTCGAACCTGGTTGGCTGATGTCCCATACCTTCACGCATCCTTTTCCTCCGGTGTACACGTACTTGGTAGGATTCGAAATGGTAACTGCACATACAACTTCACCATGATTCAAAGTGTTGATTTGTCGGGCATGTCGCGGTATTCCAGGCCCTGTTAATGCATCTGGAGGAAATGGTACTGGCTGCATCTGACCGTCGGCGCTCACGTGAAACGAGTATGCCCTGTAAGTACTTTACGGTTAGGAATGTGATTCCTTCAGATCCTACTCGTTCATAATTGATGTATACCCTTATTCAGATTATACGACACGGAAGATAAAATTAAAAAAAATATATTTTTTCTGAAGTATTTAAGCTTTAAGCAAAAATCTGAACAAGTAGAAACTTGAAACGTTCACAGACTGTGGACAAAGGACAACGCTGCAATGAAAACCAATTTCGCAGAAGTCCGCGAACCGGTTGATATTTCAGAAGCCTCCATGGCATGAAAAGCCGTAAATGGAGATGCTTGAAAAAAATTGCAACATAAAACTCCAAACATGTAGCAACTTGCAGTTGCTGCACAATGTAGACAGAGGATGAAGCTGTAACCAGACTGATTTTACGAAAATCCCAAATCAGGTAAATTTTGCAGAAGCCTCTAAACTTGTTCTATCGATGAGGAAACTAACTTGAAACTTTTTCCCAGTGTATATAAAGGATGAGACGCGTACCGGTTGAAGTCTCCAAGTTTGGGCTCCACAGCATTTAGACGAGCTTCTTCTATACGTTGCAATGAAATTGGATCGTTAGCTCCCGATTTCCGACGAAAGCAGTTCGCAGTAGGCCTGGGTAACACTGTGCTGAATTGCGCTTTTGAGTTGTTGCCGTTCTCTGAGTTAATGAGTTATAACTCATCGGTTAATGAGTTATAACACACGCACTGCCCCAACTCCTGAAACTTCACTGACTTGCCCAGGTTTAAATCAGAGTGTTTTTGGATCTAAACCAGTGTTGTGCTCGAAGGGCATGGCACATCTTCTACAGTCCAAGTGTCTAATATATTTGTTGTGCCGAGTCCTTCGGACAGGACACTGGTTTTGAAATAAACCTGTCAATGCTCCTGTTGAAAGTGTTTTTTGGGTTCAAACCAGTGTCGTGCCCAAAAGGTTCGGCACAATATCTAGATTGGACACATTTGGATGTCACTAAATGACTGGGCATCGTTCGCAGAAATTGACTAATAACCTTTGCACCCATTTTATTCGTGATGATGGTGCAAATACGAATCTTCATACTCAGACTCTGCACTTGGTTTAATCGTAGTTTAGCATAAATACATTTTTGAAGTGCAGTTTACGAAGAGACACTCGCAGCCTAAGTTGGAAGGTTTCTCAAATCGTCCCCGATTATATCGCAGAAAGACGAAACTTTCCAAATCCACAGATTAATGCATGCTCTTTGCAACACACGCCTTGGCCAAGTTCTATTCCACTCGGTTTGGCCAAACTGGATTTTCTGAAAATTATTTTTTAAATTTGAGTTGCCATCTGCCTGATGATGGTTCAATAGCAAAACTTTCCCCATCCCGAGAAGAAACTGCGCTCTTTCGAATGAATGATTCGGCATCAAGCCATCTCACTCACTTTGGCAGGAATTATTTTTTTAAATAAGTCTCAATTTAGACTTATGTTCTCTTGAACCAATGTGGAGGCAAAAAACACTGTAAACTTGTCAATTAATTGGTGTTTGCCAAAAAACATCTCTGTTGTCTTCGAAGATTTCCGCTCAACTTTTACTCGCAGAAAACTCTTGAATGAAAAATTCAAAAATCCTCCAGATTAAATTTTACTACTCGCAGTAGGCCTGGATGTGCACTGTGTTGAGTTGTTGCCGCTCTTTTAATCTTTAAAGTTAATCAGTTATCATGCATAGAGCAATGTGTTATCTCATTTGCTAAAGCGGATGGAAGCTCTGCGAGACCCGAGACCAGAACAACACTCCAAAGAACGTAAAAAAGCAACGTTTTCCTAGCCACGGAACTGAGTTACTGCGCCGGTGCGTAGAGTTGGCGCACCAAGCCATTTGCGCTGCACTGCGCCAACTCCTAAAAATTCACTGAGTTATCCAGTCCTCGTGAGCAGCAGACAGAAACGCATCCAGGCGGAATCCGGTGAGGCCCACGGACTACACACTATTATATTCACACGAACGGACCACAATCTACACACTATCATGATAGAGGACCGGCTGTATGCGTGCGAGACAGAAATGCGTAGCTACTTGTATTTATCTATGCCAGACATAAGGACGCCGTTACGCATTCCAATCCATTCACACTGTGTCATCAGAAGTCATCACTTCAAAAATTCAACTTTGGGTGGAAAATTGAACTTTTCAAAAATTAAATAGATCCACTGTCATCTTCCGTGTCGTATAATCTGAGTAACCCTGCATACTTGATAAAGAAACCACCGGGAATTAAGCAGGTCGTTCCTGTTTAAACTGGTAAGAAAATACCTCCATGTCCGTGGCCAAAATTAAAGAAACCGATGGATTGGTAGAGTACATTACACTTACGGTTTTCCACCAGGTATACCACCCAGTCCTGGAACAACGGGAGCCCTCATCTGTGAATGCGGGTCATATCCAACTTGAATGGGAGGCCTCGGATAATTATTTAGCGCGGGTGGTAGATTGTTGTGTAGAGCGCCGTAACCTGCACCAGCGGCGGCTGCTGCAGCTGCAGCAGCTTGCAGTTCATGCGGAGGAGCGCCTAGAAGACACACGGATCAGACATCAGCCCCACAATCTCACCTTAAACGCCCTCACCATTCGGCATGCCCAAGTAGGGAGGGTACTGGCCCATAGCTGGCGGTTTCACCACCGGTTTCAGTCCGCTGGAACCTGAAGATGAACCTGCCACTGATGTGGGAGTGACCGACTTGGAGATCGGCGTCGGTGGTTTCTCGTCCATTTTTTTCGTGGACGGAGTCGATGCGTTACTCGACGTCCCTGACCTGTAGAACCGCTCATTAGGGAAACGGTTTAAGGGACTGTGAGGGTCATACGTACCGAGGGCTGTGCGGGCCCGGATGCTCTTTCTTCGGGAGTTTGTCGATTCCGTTTTCGCGCGGTGAAACGGTCCCATTGGCTGGGGAGATTGGGTCCTCTGATGCGTCGTCCACCACCAGGTCTTGGTCGCTTTTCTCGCCATCGCTATGCTGTAAGAGAAAAGGCAATCAGTGCGGGCATATCGAGTATAGCCAATGGAGAAACGGATATTTGCTACTTTTACTCAAAAAATTCCAGAAGACACAATTAAAACGGGAAACAACGTTCTACTTCTACTTATTCTTTAGCCGTGGTGATTCGTCTCGCGTAATTCTCACCATCCTCCCTTCGTCTGACCCTCAGACCTTCATCTGGCTTGATTTCAGGAAGATTTTTGTGGTATAATAACAGCTCTTAACCCTAGATCACTTTTCGCGAAAAATTAATTTCCTGTTGTATTATTTTGTTTTCAACTACAAATTTGCATCTTAGAGGTGTTTTTATGTACTACTAATGCCAGCCATACACTACTCCCTTTCCCCGATTAATTGGGCAATAAAGTGGGCCAATTATTGAAGATCATCTTCTTGGCCGTCGTCACCTCTACACTTGGATATTGTTTACACAATAAAATAGTGCAATTTCAGAAAACCAATATAAATTTCAATACTTTAGTTCTGTTGTTTTGTTTTGGGAAAAAAATGTCGATTTGGACTAATTTTCATTATTAATTTGCTAATACTTTTTTTATTTTAAACTTATTGCTTGCAACACAGATTTTCAACATTTGGAAAAATATTTTCGATTTTTGCTTTATTATCTTTTTTTCGATGTTTGCTTTCCACCTAAGAAGCTTGCGTGTTTTTTGCTGCATTCGATCTAATGAGCTTCCGAATTATGCAAATTTACCGTGTTTAGGGCATTTAGTGAATTTAATTTTTTTCGAATACTTCTATCTCCACCGTTATGGAATTTTCGGTAAAAAAATAAAAAATTTACGTGCGAGTGTTTTGACTGCTTTCGACCTAAAAGCTCCCCAATTATGCGTTTTAAAGGTGTTTGGGCATTTCGAGAAACATTTTTTTCTAAAACATCGACCTCCACCCTTATAAAATTTTCGGTAACGAAAGAAAAAATTTACATGCGAATTTTTTTAACTGATTTCGATCTAAGGAGCTACCAAATTATGCAAATTTACGGTGTTGTTCGGGCTTTAGGAAATATTTGATTTCTTCGGAATCTCCACCCTCATGAGTTTCCAAAAAAAAAACGAAAAATTTCAAGTGCAAGTTTTTTGACTGCTTTCGGCCTATGAGAGCTTACTAGTTTTAAAGGTGTTTTGGAGCATTTTGAGAATTTTTTTTTTGAACACAGCGACTCCACACATGAAATTTTCGGTAAAAAAAGCAAAAATGTACATGCGAGTTTTGACCGATTTCAACCTAAAGAGCTTCTAAATTATGCAATTTTACTGTGTTTTTCGGGCACTACTTTCCTAAGAAAGATTTGAATTTTTTCGGAAACATCGATCTCCACCCTCACGGAATTTTCGGTAAAAACGAAAAATTTTACGTGCGAGTTTTTTGACTGCTTTTGACCTAAGAGAGCTTCTCATTTATGGATTTTAAAGGTATTTGGAGAATTTTAAAATTTTTTTGTAACACAGCGATTCCACCTTCATGGAATTTTCGGAAAAAAAAAAATTTCACGTGCGAGATTTTTGACTGCTTTCAACCGAAGAAAGCTTCCCAATTATGGATTTCAAAGGTGTTTGGAGCATTTTGAAAAATTAAATTTTTTTTGATCACATTGAACTCCACCCTCATGGAATTTTCGGCAGAAAAAACAAATTTTCGAACGAGTTTTTTGACTGCTTTCGACCTAAGGAGCTGGCCAAATATACATTTTCAAGGTGTTTGAAGCATTTCAAGAAATTTTACTTTTGCGGAAAATCGTCCACCCTTAATTCTTTGTCCCTTTTCGACGAGAATCGCTGCCAACATCGTCTTTTAGGAAACAACAAATAACCCGAAAAATTACCGGAAATTTCTCACAATCCGCAATACATCGTACCGTCGATTCCACGCTTTATTGGCCAATAAATCGGGAAAAAGTCCGTATGATTCCTGTCCGGCTTGTACGGGCTTTCTTCGTTTCTTTGCATTTATTTTCAGTTTCTTGGCGCAACCATGGTGTCCTTTCTTGGTTTTTTGTTAGATCTGTTTGTATTTCAGATGCGAAAAGCGTCGACTGGGGCGTTGATGTTAGCGTTTATTTCTCTCAGCTCGTACTTACATCATTTAACTTGTTTTTAATTTTTCTCTATTTTTCTTTTCAGTCCACTTTAGTACCGAGTTCTTATTGTTGCATATAATGCCTCCATAAGTATGTTTTTTTGTTCTTCCCTCTTCGACTCTCCGTTTGTGCTCAAGGGCAGTTTTAGTTTGATCCTTGTTGCGAGAGACGTTAAAACCAGAAAAAGCAAAGTCAAAAGCAGCAAATCTACACAGAAAGGAATGTAAAATACCCGCCCAAACTGAGAATCTACACGAGTTCCACGCAATAAACGTTTTTGGAACAGCTAGATGAAAATCATGGAACGGCTGGTAGAAATGATGGCCGCCACTGACCATTACAAGCTCGATGGTGCGTTACAAATACCAAGGTACCATATGTAAATTACCGAGGCAACAAAAAATGAAAAGCCCGTTTACCAGCCGTGTAATATATCTCAATGCACATGTAAAAGAGCGCGACATGGCAGGTACATGCAACTGACGAGATATAAAGGTACCATAACCGGGCGAGGGACCCCTTACCGGGACCTTAACAATGAAACGCCATTGACCATAAATGTTTTATTTCAGTGCATGTTGGTGTTCTCTAGCTGAACGTGTCGCATTACTAATTTAACTACACAAGAGCAATTAGTTCTGTGTGGGAGTATTGCGGGAGTGAGTAAAGGCGTTTGATTGAGTAGCCGGATAAAACTCAGTTCTGGTAAACTAGACGGGTTTATTTGGGAACTGACATGCATATTTGGCTTCTTTTCCAACAATGACTAACCGTAGAAAATGCTCAGAAAACTTTCACATTTAGCTTCTCTAGAAAGACCCGCATGTTCTCAAGTGTTTCATTATCAACAGGTGAATAATCCGAGAAAACCCGTAAAGTTCCCGGCGATAATAATTCCCAGTTGTGACTGGGAAAATTTAAAACAACCAATTGCTTCATAAGTTGGTAATAAGATCGCAACAAATCGCTTAAGACCGCGACCAAGAGCCATTCAACGAGAAACCGCATACTAAAGAAGCGAAAAAACGGCCTTTCTCGGGCCAGCGGCGCAACTTATTAATAATTGACGTGTGCGTTCGTCTGGAAAAAGGAAGAAGAAGAAGTTTGAAAACCGAACCGAAACAGTCGTTTAAGCGAGCGTTTAATTCGTCTGGGAATTGGAAGTGCAAGACCATGGACGGAACAACGGGTTTTTGTCACAAACAACTCGGTTAGAATGTAAAGGAATGTGAAGGATTGACGAAAACGCCCGAAACGGAGTCTTCATTAATTCAGTAAATTTGCTCGGTATTTGGTGGACAGAGCGGTGAAGAAAACTGATTAGGAAATGGAATAGTGATGAAGACTAATGAGAAGAATCACGAAGAAATGCATAGAAGCAACTTGAAGATTGAAGAGATGCTTTTTTGTGTAGGAGTTCGAAGAATCAGAGGATTTTGCCAATGCAAGCGACAATCCAGATTTTAAACTTCAAAAAGTGAATATTTGGACTATTTAAATGCAGCTTTAAAATACTGAGTTCGTACAGACGCAGAAATAGTCAAAATTTAGGTAAACTTGTTTGTTTGGCAGTCTTTCACAGTCAGGAAGAAAAAACGAAGAAAGTTCTTGAAGACGTTGAAAATATAGCAGAAATCCACCACAGTCTTAACCACAAAACGAGCCCGTTCAACGTTGAAATGTTGAAAACTGAGGAAAGTGAAGATTGTGAGGTTTAGAACCCATGCTTCACATACCTCCAAAGCCACAGAAACTGTACGATTTTTTCGAGCAAGTTCGTTTATTGTAAGCCTCCACAGTATTCACCACAAAACGAGCCCATTTAAATATCGACGTTGCAAATTAAAAAAAAAAAGAAACATTGAAAAAAGTGAAGATTTTGAAGTTCCTACAGACATGGAAACAACCGAGATTTTCTGGGAAAGTGGGGTTTTCTGGGGAAGAAAGTTTTTTTGAGATCTTCCACACTCTTCAAATTCGCTCGAGCCCAATTAAAGAAAGCTGAAAGCGAGATGCTGAAAGTTGCCTAAAGATGCTAAAACTGCAGACGGATTTTTCCGGGAAATTTCGTTTTCTCCAACCTTTCCCTCTGTTTATTCCAAAGCAAGCACGTCGATTTTTAAATTCAAATAATCAAAAAACTGAAAAAAGAGAGGGTTAAGGACATTCGACAGCTCGGCTTCGACGCAGGAATTCTTAAAGACGCTGAAACCACAGCCGGATATTTTCGGAAAAGTTCGTTTTATGAAACCTTTTTACCCCAAAACGAAGCCAATTAGGGCCCGATTTGGAAAGTTCTAAAGTTCGAAAATGCCGAGGAAATCGAGCTTTCGACCGCAGGTTTCAAATACCGACATTTCCTAAAGACGCTCAAAATACCAGCGAATTTTTCCTGGAAAGCTCGTTGTTTCAAACCTTCCACACTCTCTACCCCAAAACAACCTGATTAAACACCGATTATGAAATAAATTCCGAACGTACATTTAAAATACAGGAAATTCTAGGGCGAGGACGAGTCCAATTAAATACGGATACTGAAACTTCAAAAAAAAAATGAGAAAAACGAAGATTTCGAGCTTTTGAATGCCGGACTTTACTAAAGACGATGAAACTACATCCGGATTTCGTCCGAAGTTCGCTTATAAAACCTCCCACACGCTTTACTCTAAAACATCCCGAATAACCGCCGATTTTCAATTAAAAAAAAACTGAAAAAATTTGATATTTAGGACTTCGAAATGCCCTTTTTAGATGCCCAAACTATAGCCGGATTTTTCGGAAAATTTTGTTTTTCAAACCTTCCACACTGTTCACCCAAAACAAGTCCAATTAAAAGCAGATTTTGAAATTTCAAAAATCCCAAGAAAGCAAACATTTAGGACGTTTGAATGCCCTTTTTAGATGCCGGAAATTCCTCAAGACACACTTTTCTGTTATATGAAACTTTCCACAATTTTTACCTCAAAACGAAACGAATTGGGGCCGATTGGGAAGCAGATTTCGAATGCAGCTTCCAAATGTTGGAGGTTCCTCCTAAAGACGATGAATCTGCAGGGAAGTTTTTCCGGGAACGTTCGTAAACGTCTTACACTCTTTACCCCAAAACAAGCCCCACGAAAGTCAAGTTTTCACGAATATTTAGGACATTTGAATACCCTTTTCAGATGCCGGAGATTTCGAACTAAATTTAAACTACATATTACCGGATTTTTTCGGAATAGTTCGTTTCATGAACTCTTTTACACTTTTACCCCAAATTTTTACAAACGTATCCTTTTTGGAAACGTTCATGTTTTGAAACCTTGCGCAATCTCTACCCTAAATCAAGCCCAATTAAACACCTTTTTTCGCCTTCCAAATATAGTCTTCAGATACCGGAAGTTCGTAACGACGCTGAAAGTACTGGCAGATTTTTTCGATAAATTGCGTTTTTTTGAAACCCTAGACACAGTTTAATGTGGAGCGGGTCCAACTAATCACCGATTTTATAATTTTTTTAACTGAAACAAACAAAGATTTGAAACTTTTCAATTCAGCGTTAAGATGTCGGAAGTTGTGAAAAGCTAAAAGTTTATGTCCACCGTCCACACTTTATATTCACCTTCCACACTTTATATCCACCTTATACACTTTATATAACCCTTCCACACTTTTCACTTCGGAACGAGCCAATTAAACCACTGAAAGTGGAGAGTTCAGTCTTTCGAACGCCATTTTCATATGCTAAAAGTTCGTAAACGAGATGAAGCACCTGTTTTTTCCTGGAGTCGGTTTTCGAAACCCTGCACACTGTTTACAATAAATACATTAAAAAAGGGAAGATTTTGAGCTTGCGAACGCAGTTTTCCGATGTCGGAAGTTCCCAAAAACCCTGAAACTACCGCAGGAATTGTCGGGGAAAGTTCGTTCCTTGAAATCGTCCACACTTTTCAGCTGGGCGAGAATCCAATTAAATACCGATTTTGAAATTTATTTTTGAGTTTCTGAACGCAGCAAAAATTTGCATCTAAGACTTGCTAAAGGCGATGTAACTACATCTGGACTTTTCTGGAGAAGTTCTTTTACCCGACACCCTACACACTAAACACTAAAGCTACAACCGAATTTACTTCGGAAAATACGTTTTTTTACTTTTGAAAGAAATGAAGTTAAGTACTTACGTGACCGAGATCCTTTTCCTCCTTCTTCAGCTTTTTCAATTCGGTGGGTTCCTGGGGCGTTCTGGGCCTGTACTTTTCGCGCTCGGCCGGCGATATCGAATTTCTCTGCAAAGAAACACACGTCATTGAATACCATCATCATCATCATCACCACCATCAATTTCCATACATTCAAGTCCTGTCATAACGTGCAATTTCACTCATTTCCATCGTAATTTGTTATTAACCGTCAGTCTCTACGAGCGCTTATCTCTAATCTGGTACATCAACGAAATTGTACGTTTCGAGCACATAAACAACTCAATTTTCCACGTCTACATTATCAACACCATCTATAATGACACGATAAAGGTATGCACACTTTATTTTGTTACTGGACTCATTAGGTTCGGTTAATGGCATGTATTTCGTTAATGATCGTGTTTGATCATGGCCGCGGCCTCCGGCCAGAATTTAGTTGTGCTCCATGTTACATTATTTCAACATTATTTCGTTTGTCTGTGCGGGAAAATCGAAATTCAACATGTCAAACAAATTACTACGCGGTGTTGGTTCAAACCACTCGCTGATTCATGCACGCTATCATTAGAGGTTAATTACAGACAAATCGATAAGTTTTGCTTCCTTGATAATGCTGGCAGCAGACGCAGACGAAACGTTGTATAAAATTTCAATCAACTTGAACCGAATAGAGCTGCCATTGTGCCCATTCTTTCTAATTTATTCAGAGGCAACTTTCTCCCGCATAACTTCGAAGGGGAACTAAATTGGTAATAAGATGGATGATCTCCGTGCAAGCGGCACCGTTTCCTCGGGAATAATTACCGTAACTTCTTAGTAAATTAATTTTTGTGCGAGGGTGGGGTCATTTAAATTAGCGCTGTTTGTTGCCCGAAAAACGGCCCCTCGAAAAGACTACATTGTTTTCTTTAAGTATCATCCATTCGGTGAATGACTTCGATACAGGAAAGTAATTAATTGGTTTATAGAAATGAAACTATTGAAGAAACAGAACTGGATTATTGGATTATTGAGGACAAAGCCGGGTATTGAATTGTTGAACAACTTAATGAAGAGGATTTTAGCGAGTGCACATTGGGCTGAAAATCCATAGTCCATGTAATGTTAACTAAGAGTCGAGTTAACAAAATTCCTCCTGGATTTGTCAAATTTTAACCGATTTTGGTGCTTTTGGCCCCAAACAGAGGCTAATAAATACCGATATACGGCTCTGAGCTTGCGAATAATTTTCGTTTTTATGGGAGACATCAATCAATGTGCACATTTCAAAATTCGCCCATATGAGACAACGCAAGCGAAACTTTCAAACGGCTCTGAGAACCCCCCGGAAATAGGTAGCAACCTGAAAATTCCCATAGTAGTAAAGAACTATCTGGGGATTAGACCGGAGATATAGTAATGCGATTTTTCGAAAAACTGAAGAAGATTTTCCCATTTGCACCAATGTTATTGGGTTTTTCTTAAATATGCCTTTGAAGAAAACGATCTTTTAAAACAAGGGGTCATCTGGTTTGGAGAATAACTAAACTGCAGTTAAAAAGTTTGCCTTTAGGGAAATTTTCAAACTTTCTTGTGACAAAGATTGTGAAAAAAATGCCATAAAATAAAGGTAATTTAAGATGAATTTTTCAAATGTTCATAACTCCTTCCGATGTTTCTACAACATAAATTAAAACAAAATATTTTATTTTTCGATAATCCTTGAATTCCATTTAATAATCCCCGGGGATTGCTTTTCATCAACTTTCGTCTATCGTCAGCAGGCAAAAAAGCTGCCTGATGTCAGAAAGCCGCCCAATATCTCCTTAATTGGCCACAGGAAAAGTGAATACCACTGTTTTTCATCTGTATAAAATCCTTCAATCGATCGCGCATCTAGAACTTTTCCATCGTTTCTCACTTGAGGAAAATTTTGAGGTTTTGGGAATCAACCTATTGCGATTTTCTCGGAAACCCCAAACGATCGAGTCAAATGAACACGACCAGTAGTAGAATCTCGAAAACAAACGGCGAAAATCATAATTATAATCGACGCGAATTAAGAAGCCAAAGTCCAAAAAGAAACCGACTGAAAAAGCCTCTTTTATCCCTGTAACTGGTAATTTGAATTTAAGACTACCGCCATTTGTCAAACGTGACTTGATTACTTTCGCAGGATATCCTGAATGGGGTCGATTCATCCTAATTTAGCGGGGGAATTTTGCGGCAGGAATTTTGAAAGGGCTTAAATTCCAATAAGGGATTAACGTCAGGCCGAATGGCCCTTTCGGCTTGCGCAGATAATGGGCTCCAATATATTAATATTGGCTTATTTGTGCTTTGCGGTATTATTGATAAAGTTCAATTTCCCGATAACAGAGTGTTTGTTATTAATTCCTGCTTAACAAAGCAAAAATTAGATTACATTGCTAATGGCCATCCATCACTGAAAACGCTTAGGAATATATAGAATAGTGGCCTAGACAAAGGTCTCACCGGTGTCTCTTCTACACGCAAACGAATATTGATAATGCAGCAGGAAAATATAATAATTTACATCCAAGAGACAGTATTGGAATGGAAGGTATGTCGTATATTTAGCAGGGTATTTACGACTTGCGCAACTGGCGCCTTCTCTGGGGCATGTTTTGAATTTTTCATCGCCCATAAAGAACAGAAACACGAAATCAATCGAAACTCACTCGATAATTTTCCAATTGGGGGCCACTTCAAAAGGAAGAGAGTTAGCCCAACTCAGTGAACTTCACGTCTTTAATCAACGACTTCTTGTGCAATCACTCGATAGTGATCCAACAAAACCTCTAAACCTCTATGCAATTTTGACGAAACCTCCATGCTGACGCCTTTTTTATTTGCGAAAGATTCAGACGTTTCGCTCGCAAACTACGTGTTTCGGTTGCGGGAGGGTTTTATTTACCGACGTGGACAAATTCCCCCGGGAATATAAAACGGCCGGCGTGTCAGAGGAAATTGCTCGGAACACAATGAGACGAACAGAGGCGCCAATAAAAATAAAATCCCGCATTATCTGAAGCTTTCAACACCTTCACTCTATGTGGAAAGGCAATAATAATAATATCAATTGTGTTTTTTTTCATTAAACGCATGCTGTCCACACACTGCCTAAAGAGACACAATTGAACAAAACCATCATCATCAACGCAAAACAGAGCTGGAAGTGAAAGCCCCCCAAATCGATAATTCCAATTAGCTAAATCGAAAAGAAAAACTCGCTCAGTAAAAGCGATCAAATAGCGACCCCAAACGTGCATGTTTTCCCCAAAAACACAATCGCTCCAACACTCCATAAGAGAAACCGAAGTGGAGCGAACGCCCCTCGAAGCGTGAAACGACGTTGCCCTTTAACCTATTCCGTTTCGTTTTCCCTTCCGGCCTTCCGAAAGACGAGGGGGAGGATTATTAGTAGCACATTTAGGGATCTTTGCGAGGTATCCACGTAATTAATTAATTTCCCCAATTTTGCGAAGAGCAGGTAAAAATGTTTTCCTTCTCGGCCTTTGGGGAAATAATTCGTTGAGTAGCGCTGGTAAAGATGCTCGCCCATTTCGCTTTCGAAGGCTTCTTCCACGGCAAAGGAAAAGGGATAAGTTCGTGGATAATTAGAGGCGCTCAGTTACGGATTCTTTTTTCTCATTGAGCTTACTAATTTTAATTTCCATTCGTCTTCATCAGAGTCTTTGCCGTCGGGACTTCGCACCTTTTCAAGTTAATTTCTTATTTGTTTCATATTCAAACGCTCCCAAATTTACAAGAAGTCCTCCTAAGAAGGAGTTAAAGTTTAAACCTATTTCGGTCTAATTTAAATATCTGTCCGTCTGCATTATAACCTTCAAAATGTTTCCCTAGTTCTAGGGATTTTTTGCATGGGAATTTGTTATAATTATATAGGGATTTTTAAAAATTTTCGTTTATCTGCAAAAAAAATTATTTTAGGAAGAAATTATTGATATATTCCACTACATAAGGCTAACAAGTAGAGAGGACACACAAGGCTTGACTGTGATGCAAAAATCAATACACCTGCAGTGAGTGTAATTTACAACTGCCCCATCTTTATATAAACTTTGTCAGATACCTATTCAAACTAAAACTTGAATTTAAAAGAATAATTAAGAAGAATACAAATTGAAGCAAAATTATGACGTCCATTTTTTAAATTTCGTAATATACCGTTTTCAATAAACTTTTTCGTTCCACTGACCATTTTTTATTAAATATTTTTATTTATGTATTTTTTTTAAATCTAGGAAGAACTGGGGATTTTTTTAAAAGTAGTATTTTTAAGTAAGTTGACTTAGGCCAGTTATTCGCCCGTAAAGAATGCATTGAGCTGTAGACCAAATAAGGGTATGATTATTGAAGAGCGACGGTTTTGTTAAAACTTGCATATAATAACAAAACTTGCTGAAAAAAAAAACAATACATATTTGAGCCCCCGTCGTGACGGTCAAAAATCGATTTATACGATCAATAAATGTAGTAAATATTTTGTATCCAACCGACATTTCTCTATGATATACAGGGTGTTCGTAAAATGAGTTAGGGCATTTTTAAGGCTTATTCTACATGCTAAAATAATGATAGTAGGTCATGTAGCAAAAATGCGAAATCTGAATATTTTCGGAGTTACAGCTCATGAAACTGATTTTTATTTCTTTTTTATTATTTACCTGTTCTGAACCTTTTATCGCGGATCAAATTGAAAATTGGTACAAAGTTTTGTATTAATAATATCATTTTAGTTAATTTTTCGCATATCTTTTTTGACACCCCAAATGTCGCAAAAAGTAATATGCGATTTTAAAGATGAGAAAATACTAGACAAAAAGTTGACTCCAAAAACCTCTTCGACTAGGAGCAAAACGACAACAAAATGTTTTAATACTTCATCACAGTGGCCTTGTATTTAATTGGAATGGCAGCAAACCAAGTCGTCTGGTTTTAGAATGTGCCAAATTTGACAATTTATAGTAAGTATTTTAATACTGTTCAATTTAGACTAAATTTTTGTGCTGCATTTGAATGAATGTATCATTTGAATATTCTCGATCCATTTTAATTTA